GTTACGACTGTCTCTGTTACTCGAGGACATACCTGTGGTGATCCGGGCCTACTAGATGATGAATACCTTGGAGTGATACGTTACATTTTTAGGACAACTTTGATCAATCAAACTTCACGGATGACGTCAACAATGCGCTTACGTAGTACTGCTTCTGGACTACATACCACAGGTAGATTGTACCAGCCAGTTATAGACCGTGCAGCTCAGACAGAAGCAGAATGACGCCAGAAATACTGGAACGCGATTGGCAGAAGCCCGGATGACCAATGAGCATGTTTTGTACGTATTATTTGATCTCCCTTATTTCTTCCAACAAACGAACTACTACTCCTGTGTCCTTTTTCTCGCGTTTCGGTTACGTGGGATATTGCGTGCAAATGCCAGTGTGATCCAGGGCTTCAATGACGTTCGTGATTCCTAATAAGTGATTCATATCCCGCGTTCAGTTCGTACTACAAATACCACAATCATTACAATACAACATCCAGTGCTCACCACAATTGACCTTCCCCCAGAATTCAACATCGAAACTGCAGTGTTTAAAAAGGAATTCGTCTCCATGGCTTGATAATATCTTGATCAACCTGGCAAGTGACGTGACTCAAACATTAAATGAACCATTTCAACGTATATTCGACCAAACTGTGCCCCCAGAAGCATCGAAATAAGCGATAATTTCACCAAAGGTAGCTGTCGTGGGGACCCAGCTGAGTACCGTCTCGTTGCTCTCCCTCCCGTATTATCCAAAGTCAAGAAATCTATTGTTGCAGACAATGTGATGAGTCACTTGAAAAAATACGTTTTATCGCCGAGAAGAAGGGACTAAAGCAATGGATCACGATGCACTGGACGTAGTGTACCTCGACTTTTCCAAAGGCATTTGACTACGGAAACAACCCAATTATAGAATTCGGGGACCTATACTGGATTGGATAGGAGAATTTCTTCGATAACGCACCTTGGTGGTTTGGGTTTCTGGGCCACTCACTAACCGATCCTATCAGCGTATTCCTAGGAGTTCCATATGGAGCCGTGCTTTGCCTTCAACGTTTCGCAACTTTCATCATTGATCTAACGAACATTCTGGGGCCAAAACTGTTTTTGTTTGCAGACGATGCAAAAATATGGAAAACACTGACATTTCAGAGAACATTTGATGCTGTTTCTCCATGGTCAATCGAAAATGACATCGAATTCAGTGCAACGAAATGTAGGGTCGTACCTCTTAACCCCGTGTCTCCTTGGATATCAACAACTTTCTTGTCTCCAATTAATAGGATCTCGGTGTCGTTGTTCAAGACGACCTAAGTTATTCTGTAAGTTACCCCAGGGCGTCGTCCACCGCCGCAAGACATGGTTTTCTGAAGAGAGTAAATGGTAAATGGGAATCTATGCTGTTCCCACGTTTGTTATCAGCCTACATTCTACCCCAAAATAGAGTATGCCGTTCAAGCATGAAATCCATGGTTGCAACGCGATCGTACGCTTCTGGAAAGTCCACTAAGAATGGTCACCAAGGTGGTCAAGGGGTAGTATTCCAAGACTCGTGAAAACATTGGAATTATTGCGGTTGTACTCCACACGGTATCGCCGAATCGGAGGGAACTTTATTTTTTTTGTATCAAATAATGCAGAACCCTGATGATACATGTCATTCATTGTTCTCGTTGTAGTCCAACAGTCACCTCATGGGGCATCCATGCAAATTAATGCTCCAAAACTGTCGAATAGAATACTGGTGCCATTCATTTGTCCAGAGTGTATAGTATTTGAAGTTTCTTACCAACTCACGTTGTTTCTGCGCTCACAACTTATTCTTCCAAGCACAAACTGGATGAAGCAACGTCACGTCTTAAATTTCGACATCCGTAGCAGTAAATGAAACAATGATACTTTATGACGTTCCTCTTCTGTCCTTTTTCGACCAGTCGATTTAGTTGTACCGAAATTCCTATTAGACAAGAAAAGCAATTGCTTGTAAGTATTTCCCTTATTTAAATGCAGTGTACAAATGTACAGAGGCAGGGAAAGGATCATTGAGACATGTTTGTGACTTCTTCATTGAAATCATAGCTTGTTGGTTCCCTAAATACAGCTTCTTGGTTCTGTCATTTTCATTAATGATACAGGAAGATGATTTTACAAACTCAGTGACAGTTACTCTACAGTCAGAGCCAAAAGTCTAGGATCACTCAAATTTCAGTTCACAATGAAACCAAAAGCTTAGATGGTGAATGTTTGGATTATCCCATTCGGTTTTTCACAGGCACCAGGTATTGTTGATGTTGTTCGAGTCCTAAACAGGACGAAACAGCTGTCCAGTGCTCTTTGTTGGTTATCACAAACATTTCCATCGCACTAAGAACTAGGTAATTTTGACGTCTGAAGCATTAAGTTCCCTTTATCCATCTCATCAAAACAGAAAGAAGACAAATGTCCCGAGATGTAAACATTTCATTTAATCTTCTCAGTTGCTGACTTAAAACAAACGGGCACATATATAGCACATGGGATTAATCAATTATGGTGAACAAACGTGTACAAGCATACAAAGATTACTAAATTTAGAAGTAGAAGGTCAACTCCACGGCAAGTGGATTGCTCGTATCAAAAACTGCTGTACGCACAAGGTCGGGTGATATAATCAAATAAGCAGTGCTACACTAATCTCGTAGCTCAGCTGGTAGAACATGCGCATACAAAGCGTAGGCGGCGTCCATGCGTGGGTTCGAATCCCACCGAGACTATCGAACTTTTCACAATCGACATACAAACTTCAAATCTGCCAAACAACAACTTGCTTCACTAATTGCCAAAAGTTTAGCATTTCGATTACGTAATAGTGGTTTGAAAGACGAATTAGGGTCAACTGCTTGTCTTGTTGCCATGAGATGTTTGGCAACAAACGATCCTGGATTTCTTGTAATCACTTGGCCATCATTTATCGGTTGCGTCATGGATTTCACCAACCACTATGGAATATGTTCGGCCATCCGTTGTGACCGCTGACAGTTTGTTCTGCCTATGTATGCGCCACCGCAACTGCAGGTGAACTGGTATACATTGTGTGAGACGGAACTGGTTTGCCAGCCATGTTTACGTTTGTTCACCATAATTGATTAATCCCATGTGCTATATATGTGCCCGTTTGTTTTAAGTCAGCGACTGAGAAGATTAGACGAAATGTTTACATCTCGCGACATTTGTCTTCCTTCTGTTTTGATGAAATTCTGGTGTCCTCGGATGATTGTCAATCGGACAGCAAATAGTCCTCGTAAATTTTTGGAGTTGAACTATAACTAAGGTCGTATGAAACTTCCCAAAACGGACCCCGAACTTCGCGCATAACCAAGTATTTGCACTTTTACCGACTTTAACATGTACAAAATGTTCTCATTCTAGCAAAAACTTACGCATCATCTTATCGAAAACAAGGAAGTAATACGAATACTAATAAGATTACCCTGGAAGATCCCCAGTTACAAAAGGCTGTTGAAGCACCGTGATACGAGCTAGCATTATTTTTGATTTGAAGTACGAAATCGACGAAACACAACAGGTGCAAAGAAGAACAAGGTCGAACCTATAAGATTAGTTGCGGAAAGACAGTGTCTGTGTCAAGCAAAGGTCATGCATCAACGCGATGGTACTAAGATGTCAGTATAAACACACTGTGGCTAAAGTTTTGATGTCTGGCAAAGGTCACCAACTGTTTGAATTTATCCACCCACTCAACCACACCATAAAACATCATGCGAAACACTGACTAAACCTTTATAACGCATGACGTATGTGTGTATGTATTCAGTGCTGTAGTACAAAACATATACTATTTCGCCCAACATTTTGTGCTGACGACCCAAAAGAACCGTTCCCATAGCTTTTACACAGCCCCGTTTGCATCCTTACTCATCGTATTGAATAGCCAACCGGTGAATCCCTTTCTGTAATAATTAATCGTTTATCTACACATTGCCCAATGTGGTTTCTTCCCTTCTGATATAATCCCAATAGCCATGCACATTGTTCAATCTGGAGAGCTTGATATTTTTCTTGACACTGTATTCTAATCTCCCACATTCTCGCTTGTTTGATAGACGTGGATCAAAAGGCCCCCTCCTAACTGATGCTGAATTGGTCACCGGTTCAAGGAAAACCCTTGTTTCATCCTCTTTTACTTCAAAAATAGTGTTTTTCGAGTTGTTTGCCGGATTTATGCACTATTTTAATTTTCCTGCCACTTATTGCCCTCGTGTATGCCAGCCAAATAGCTGAATGCCTTTTAGTCAAAAAAAGCCCCCGGACCTCCACGATTTTAAGACTTGAAGGAGAACCGGAATTCATGAGGTCATGATGTTGCGCTATTCCCGGGAGCATGGCAATATGTTTTACGATAATTCCCTCTACTATATGAATGTCAGCAATTTCTTCTTCTCCCTCGTTCTCACAATTTTCTGTCTTGCACCTTTGTCATACATACTAATTTTACCTTATCCAGTGATGCTACACATGGAGTCATCGCATACCTGTTGGGAAGTCCACAGAAAACAGTATTTTCATATAGCCACCAAACTGTCTTCGGAGAAGCGACGCAATGTTCGCGAATGTGTCAAATAATCACGATTGCAGTGCCCTAACCCTAATTCCACAATTGTGTCACACCATTTTGACATATCTGTCGATAAAGTATTGATGTATTTTAAATTTTTATGAAGTTCCTTATTGTGAATTTCCTTAGGTTTGAGGATTTACGTTATAAATATTCCAACAACAAAATTAGGCTGACTGTTCCGGTAATTGTGTCGCGCACCACCTACTGATCAACCGGCTCAGGTGATTCAACGTATATGTACACAGATTGATTTTTATCTCAAGGTCACGTTTGAAAAAAATTACGGTCAATTTGATCAGCGGATTCTGACACGAGCATGTGTTCGATTGGGCCATCCAACAAAATGATGCAGCTGTCAATTTGCTTGTGTCTGATTATCATTCATATGCTTTATGCAACCGGTAATTATTATGATGTGGCCAGACGGTATCAGTCACGTTACTATTACACCCTTTCTGATACATGTAAAGTAAAAAATGTGCACCCGCTAGGCCGGTACATTGATTGGTACTCAACTGGATTGAACTTGATCAGTCCGACTGTGCGTGTACTGAGTATTGAATCCGCAGTTGGTCCAGCCGACTACCATTTTGAAAGCACACTTACACTGAATAATTTGGAAGTATACATTGTAACTGGCCGAGTGCATCGCGTCAATTTAACGGCACCGAATTTGCGCGCGTTCACAATCATTGACACCGGTAGTATCATTTGGCAGGAGGACACTTGGTTCTTTCCGAAACTACGTGTCATCAACTTTATCACCGTTAAACTAGGACAAAACGAGGTTAAGCAAGTTCCCACTTTTGGAAGCAAAGAATTGACCATTCTTCGTTTCCTGAGACTTGAATACAGCACGTTGAATTTCACATACTCCGAAGCGTTTGCCAAACTGCGCATCTTCGAGATGACTAGTGTTGGTTTTGTAACAGTTACCGGCCTCTGTGATTTCTTGTCCCAATTGAAAGAACTTCGCAAGCTCCTGCTTGCCAAGTTCACCGATTCCTGCATTCTGGACTCCATTCAGACGTTACGGTCACACCGGAATTTGAAATCTGTTCGCCTGTTCGGCCATTCTTTGGCTATGGACGAGGGTACTTTATGCTCTGTATTCCCGCCAGACATTGAGGTAAATCAAGTTCCGGATTCGAGTTCTTTTTTACTCTGCTGTCATCAACGGGAAATTTTGTAGCCAGTAAGATTGTGCTAAGAACATTATATCATATGAATGGGGCGGGGATTGCATGATTAAAGTATCAGGCATACAAAGTGTCAGATCTGAACAACGTTCGTAGTGTATCGAAAAATCGATGCGCCATGTGATATGTTTTATATAAGTTGTAATTTTGAAAACAGCGATGTCGGTACAGGTGAAAATAAGCCAACGTTTCGGTTACCGTGGTTAACCTTTATCAAGACGATTTTACAATCAAATGAGTCAGGAACAGTTTGCCAAATAACCTCTCACGCATTGCGTGTGTGTGTGTGTGTGCGTTCGCATGTACTTATGTGTCCGTGTCCATGTGTGCGTCACTGATCCGGATCGGGCTTTGGGCACATCCGTTTGTGCAATGTTTGTCTGTGGGATCGGGGTTATCTGAGGTCAGATCAGCCTTAGGACGAGTGCTGGCAAGTGATGTTAACGCTGTCCAGATGCTCGAAACCCCTGCCCCCCGTCGTTTCGGTTTACACACCGAGGATGGGCACTAATTGCCAAAGCCTCGGCGTATATAGGCGCTCTATGTTTGTTCGAAAACCTCGTTGGAGGCATACCAATGAAAGGCATTGTTTGATCCTTGTCAAGGATGATTAGTAGTACGTATATAAAAGTAACGGAAGTGCGCCGTTGAACAAACACATATGCGTATGAGGTTGTGCGGCTAAAGTTCTTCCATCAAGTTACCTGAACCGGATCATGGGTGTATGATACATAAGATAAATTCCTAATTACTCTTTTTTTCCTACTAATCAACCAGTTTAAGTAAGCCTCTCAGCACTTTGACATCATCTACTCAGTCGCGATAAAACATTGGTATGTGGATACAAGTCAATAGAGAAGGTCCAAGTGTAGGAATAAAATGAGTATATTGAAGCAACCAAAGGATCTAGCTCAAACAGTCAACCGGAAACGCACACCTGATGTGAAAATGCGTACGTTCATATTTGTGCAGCTAAAAGCTCTCAGCCAGAACACACTACTACTGAGGACTGCTATCAGGGAATTAATTTCCGTACAGTGTGATAGAAATATACAGGAGCATAAGTACAAAAGCGCAAAGTGAGGTTTTTATTGTTGATAGATAGCTTAAACCACACACAGACCGTCTTATTCTGTGCATGTACATCTATGATTTGGTCACAACACAAACAATGTGATGGTGTTCTCGAGCTAATCACCAACGGTTTTCGCGGTATAACGATTTTGATGCTCCCTAGCATGCTGAGGTTACGTGTTTCTTAGACCTTGTTTAGATGAGGGAAGTACATGGAAAATTGGCAAATATAGGGTACTGATTCAATCATACATTAGATAATTTGCTACGTTTTATTGCTTGTGGAGTAATATATTTCCAAAGTTTGCCCTTTGACCTCTCTGATTTTGTGCTATTATTCCAGCACCTGCATCTCTCAATTCATAACGGGCCGAAAAACCTGAGCGAATTCAGCTGTTTCAAAAATTTGAAAACATTGGTGTTGCATGTGCCCTCGGAAAACATAAGCACTCTGGATACGGAAGCTCAAAGTGTTTTCCTTAGAGGATCTCTGACAAGCACAAACATTGCAGTTTTGAAAAACCTCAAGCTACCGAAGGCTCGTTCAGTTGTCATTGAAGCGATGTCTCTGAAATCCAACAAGTTACCTTCAGCTCCCCTGGCAGAAACACTTCGGTTTACCGATAACGCATTCCGCTTCGAATCGGGTGTCAATCCTTTTCCCGATCATCACAATGTCCGATTACTGGATCTATCTGGTAATCCGATCGAGAGTATACCGAGTAATGCTTTCAAAAATTTACCCAAACTGAGCGTACTCATTTTGCAAAAAACTAAATTGCTTCATTTTGCTGACAATACATTTTGTGATTTGAAATGGCCCAGAGGAATCAATTTCGGAACACGAATTCCGGCAAAGACATCGATTATTGATCCACCAAAAAACACGTCAGAACGCTGGAACAGTCTGAAATGCCTTATGACACAGCAAAGGGAGTCAAATCTGATTTACTACAGTGACGACTGTCAATGTAACGAAGTAAGTGTCATTGTGAGTTGGTTCAGTACTATGATGCATGAATTACATCACTCAACTCTTCCTCCAATAAAGCTCCCCAATGTTGAACGCAACACAGAACCTTATTGCTTCTTTCATCAAATGAAACGTGAACTAAACAGCTAGGAAGCATTATGCGATTGCTTCGACCTCGCCGATTCGCATCAACTGTGCAAATGCATTGACTAGAATCGGGATCGAACCCGGGGCTTCCTACGAATAACGCGAGGACAGCAGCCGAGGTTGAACCCAGCTAACCCCCAATATTCAACATAGAATCATCGTAGTGATTCTTCGAAGCTTACGTGCCTCAAAATAGATTCTTAAACAGCAAACGAGATTTACATTGCCTAACTCACATCGGGAGTTCAAATATATGAATAATCGGACAAAAGATTACAGTCGTCCTCAGTGTTGGGTGCGGATAATCGTTCTCTAACAGAATTAATCGCAGCTCTACACCGCCTCTGTTGGCTTGTTCATGTTTTTCGTATGCCTGCCCATCGACTACCTCTCTGTGCTCTCTTTGCACGTGCCGAACAAGCCTGGAAGTGGCGCCGCGACGGGCAGACCATGACGAGGCATGGAGGTATGAAGAAGCTAGCTTCAGCTTTGGCTTCGGTCGGTGCAGCTCGCCTTCCAGGTCGAGGCCCGAGGGATGTGGATTGTCGTTGGTTACAGACGCTGAGAGATGTGGCCCAGAATAGAAGTCAGTGACGTGAATGCAGTACGGTTTGCCTGTCGAAATACCGCGCCCACTAAAAAACAACACACACAAATATCAAAAAATAAAGAATGATACACAAAATCTTTTGCTACCCAAGTTAACTAACATTTTCCATTTTTACTGTTTCACCTCCTTTTCATCTTGTTATGTATTCCATTCCACCTGCTCCTGTTATTGTCATTATTATTATTATTAATATTATTAAAGCCGTGCACAAAGGGGGAGAGATCCCATTAAACAGATAACGAGATGAATAAATCAGCTGGTAGATTATTTTATTCATCAACTGACTCATTCCTGATAGGTGCATGAAAAGATTGGAAAGGAAATCGAACCGTGTCGTTTAATCTAGTTACTCCTCAAATAGTTATTCACTTAAAATTTGAAAAGGAACTCACCGAGAACATGTTCCCCTTCATTGCGTTCTTAATCAATGGGCATATGACGTGATTAGTCATCTGTTTGTATTCAAACAATTAATCACTTTATTATTATTTTTCATTATGATTTTTTTAGACTGAACATCATTATGTGAGTCGTGAGTTGCGTGCTCGTGTTTTAGTGAATCATGGTGTTGTCTGTGCAGACGGAGCAACCGTGAATCTTTTCAGTAACTACGAGCGGAGATGTTTAAAATGGACTAAAGAACAAAGAAAGAAACCACTTAAAATGGAGCCATTGAAATTCAAAGATCGGATTCCAGTTTGTCCGAATAAATCGCTTGGAATAGCACTTCTAGTCCTGTGGTCAATTTACGCACTCATATGCTGGGTGCCTGCGATTGTGCTTTTCGTTTTGCACCAAAAGTAAGTGTGAATTGTTTGACTACTTATGAGTAAGCACAATGTGCACAAAAACGTTCCCACTGATTGCGGGCCATTGAAATGGAATTTCCGTAATTCTGTTTTTTGCTTACACAAATCATACAGGGATTTCGTATGTCTTAGCGTGGGCTTTTCATCTGATCATAGTTCATATTCGGATGAAATCCTTTCAGATCCCGTTGACCCTTCACCTAATGGCTTGCATATCTGTTTGTCAAACCCATCTGAAAAATCACAATACCGCCATATTACAGCTCCCATAAGTACACATTGAAAATGATTTTCTTGTAAATTTTACTATTTGTCTGTTTTTTTTCTAACATTTTACTCAACCTATGAATTATTCGTGAACATTTAATCCTATACAGCGCAAATTAGCTTGAGTCGAAAAGCTCGGAAGTACTATGGAGCCATTACCTCAGGTTGGGTCTCAGTAGTAATGTGCATACATCGACTCAACAGCGAAACCAACTCAAGACTTACCAAGAAGGACACACACATATTAAAGAATTCTCGAGTTCATTTATTCTGAATGACCAAACAAACTAAGCTTATTTGCATCTCTATAGTGTGAGTGGCAATCAGAGTCTTTTTCGTAAATGAGTAAGAAATGCTCTGTTACAGTTAAGTCTTGAGCGAACATGACACAGGACCCATGCTATGCGAGGAAACTCTTTCGCACACTCTCATCGATCACAAATGTATAACGTCTTAGCGGTAAAATACAACAGAAACAATGGGAAGCAGTTGTAGTGAAACTGTTATTCAAAAAGGAAAGTTCAAGCGATCGGTTGGAACCAATGCATGTTTAGAAATAATGCCATGCTTTTTTGACGCGCGGGATCAGTTGAAGGATGACATTCATGAAGCCTTCAACATCCGTAACCATTGTGAATCGTGGTGACATAACAAGACAGAAAATTGATAATTCTCTTGTATTAGGCTGCTGAAAATGAAACTGTTTAGTCTACTTTTTTGAGCAAATTTTCGTGCGTTTTTCGATTGAGATTTATGTAGAAAGGTAGCACTGAAGAATATCATTTTCTCGCTGGTTTACCAGATCAATCTTTTAGAAAAAATCATTGTTTTTCATATCACTAAACTCTTCGTATAATTATTGGTTTGCTTAGTTATTTGTATTTGTTTATGGGGCACAATCTCTCGAACATATTGACTGTGACTTAACTAACATAAATCGAGTTGTTCTATCGTGTGATCAAATAAGCAAATGATTATAATGAGCGCTTTACGTTTACCATTTCATTGTCAATCCAAGAATGTTCAGTTGGGGAGTCCTGACAGGGAATACTGCAAAGTAGATGGCTATTGCAGTTTATCTTGAATGTGAGCCAGTGTAAACCGAAATGTATTGGGCACCTCGGACGTTTACCCTGTCCAAATGGTCTATACTCCGATGAGCCGGCCACCAGCCACCAATGGATACCGGTTTTCTCACACTGCCCTGCTACCTTGCGGGTCAGGCTTTGGCTAGCTGAAGGTTCCTGGTAGCGAACTTCCTAAGAAGATTCACCTGCCTCGGCCTAAGCAACCCGACAGTATTCCGCGCACAAAATAGCGTGAAACTTTCTTTTTTTATAACGATTATTGTACCGTGATTTGTTTAGCATACAATCTGGATTCAGACGTGCGTGCAATGCAAATATATACGTGAAAAACAAAATAGAACTTGGAAACCGTGTAAGACGATATCTTTTATGCGCTGTTCATCCCAAAAGGTCGATCTCGCGAGCCTCATCAGCTAATAAAGACTGGTGTGTGCAGGCCATCTGGTATGTGTTTGCGATTTTGTCAGTGTTTGACTCGTGGTGGCCCGGGGGTAATGCCACCGAGTAATCATCCCGGAGGACGTTTTCGAATTCCATGGTCACCACCTGAATTCCTATTTGTATGTTGCATAGCAGCCATTTGATTGGCCGCTCCGTCCTTCCTGTGAGTTGTATAATTGTGTATTCGATAAAAGGAAGCAAAAAGGAAAAAGGGAAAAGTAAGAGAACAAAATGATTGCAGTGACCGCTTCTGTTTCCGCACATACATTTAAAGCTGCTTTGCTGATGTATCATGCATCATGCATTGCAAGAGCACAGTGAAACAACCGTCTCAAGCGATCAATGAGTACTATCCAAGTTGATTGTAACATGTTACAATGGGAGCTGTGGCAGGTGAATTGGTTGGTTATCAGGTTGGATCATGTCAGTAAGTGAAAACAAAACCATTTTCGAATTTTCCGCCCACTCCTCTGAAACACTGTTATTTCATCCCCTAGTCTTGGCTGCGGCCATCAATATTCGTCTATAGACTTGACTGTTATGGTTAGTTCATAAAGGTGTAGATTTTAACGTTGACGGGGCGGTTTTCTGACTGGGATTTCTGAAATGGGGCTGAATGAGGACAAATTCCCTTTTCTTTCATATGAAGTCAATAAATTTTCAATCACGTGATTGAAGAAGCATCTGGACAACATCTGGATATATTTCTCCCCCTTCGTGGGTGCCCATGGTTTTGGAGGTTCAACTGCAAACAATTAACAAGAAATCACTTCTTCTGTTAAAACACCTTACAGAACTGGGTTTCAAAATGATATGATCAACTGTCCGATGAAATAATTACTTTGCCATAATTTGTTTTGTGGATGTTGAAAAGACCAAAAGAGAACAAGCTGATTATTGACGTTCATCCAGTGTGCATTATGTGACATGCAGGTTTCAAAATAAATACTGCTGACATGAAATTGGAGTTGATACTGGGGAGGTCACATCACGAATAGCGAAAGCTAAATCAGATTTTGCCAACCTGCGACGCCTGTGGCTCCGCCACGCCGTCCGACTGTCCCTTAAGGGAGGGCTATACTTCGCTGTACATCGTAGTGCTCTACTTTACGGTTCCGAGACCTGACCCCTCCGAGCGGAAGATGCCAATCGATTTGATTGGGTTATGAATGAAGAGGTTCGTCGCCGTGTGTTTGGTGCGGATAGTCGTTCTCTAACAGGAGTAATTGCCCTACACCGCCTCCGATGGCTTGGTCATGTTTTGCTTATATCTGTCCATCGTTTACCCTTCCGTGTCCTTTCTGCACATGCTACTTAAGGCTGGAAGAAACGTCGCTGAGGTCCAGAATAGACGTCGCTGGCGTAAATGCCGTACGGTCTACCTGTTGAAGTCCCTTGCCTCATAAAAGACCGATACATTACCACACAAAGCTTGTTATTATCCTTGTTATCTAGTGTTTTCCGTTGAAACTTTTGAATCTTTTTTACATTGCGTTCTATATCCCAATTCACCCTTCCTTTGTTTCTGTTATTATTGTTGTGGCGTTGGCAC